TGGTGTGGACAGTACTTCAGGGTTCAGAGCACTGCCCAGAGCAGGCCTGCCTCTTCCCTGCCAGACGTTTCCTACCTGTCGCAATGGAGGTATGATTTCTGTCATTGTCTTGTTGAACACCAAAAAGTGCACCTAATTAAGTGTTATTACCCACCATTATTGCAACTATGCACACTTCAGACCAGAGCCTTAGCAAACCCTTCTCCTTTACTGCAGCCAGCCTTGAAGCCGTGTGTCTCTTTGTCACTCAGAGGAGCGATACCTCAAGGCTTCTCATTGCCAATAAAGATAGCACTTTGCCTCAGATCTGCAGTGATATTAAACTGAAAATAGTCACTGAAAGAGGAGCTTCAGAAATAAGCCAAAACCAAACTTGTTTAGACTATAACAAACCAACACAATAAATATATACCACATACCATGATGTTTTGAGATACAGATGAGGTAAACAAATCTGATGACGCACACATCTTGTGAACGTTCTCAGTACAGAACATTCATTAACAGTATTTTCAAAAGTGATTTCATGACTTGTTACCTTGAATAGACAATGTTTGTCTTACAATGTTTGAATATTCTCGAGCTAGATACCAGAATATCATAGAGTAATTATTGATATTCCTAATTGAGCTCAGAAGAGTCCAGAGATTTGTAATATTTGCAAAGTTCTCGTTTTGATGTGCTGTTGGTTTGTTCCAGAAGTGGGGCGGCTGGGCCGGTCCTCCTCTGCTGCTGGAGTCAGACAGGTGGGAGGAGACATCCCGAGACAGAGCAGTCTGCCCACACGGGACACACTCAATCCGGTAAATTTTCAGTACCCAGCCCTAATTTCAGATCATATTCACATCAGACAGGCTACATTTGGGTGTGATCATTAATATTGTTCTCATTATTACTTCTTCCAGCCAGAGACAGTGCTTGAACATGTCTATTTATAGCAGTAGCTATGCCCAGTGAGCAGAAAAGCTCTGTTCTGGCACCAAAGTCTGAGTAGTAAAGGTTTATGACGCAGGCTAATGTGTACTCAGTGCATGGGCAAGAAAGGGCCTCACGTAGACTGTTTGAGGTGATGAGCTGCAGTCTCCTACAGCACATTTTGCCCACATTCTGGCTGCATAGCAAATGCTGACGCAGTTTGACCATGCTGCAGAGTCTGTCTGTACTCTCATGCACCCTCCCTTAATCAGCTGGAAGTAGAACAGCACTGCCTCCTGGTGGAGAGCTGTACATACTGCATAGTAGTTCAACTTGTTCTGAGGTCAACACCACGTCTAGGATAAATAAACATCTATTCATAATAGTTTGCTTTGCTCTTGTAAAAATAATCTGTTTTGAATTTGCATGTTTCTTGCAAAGATCTTGAAGTACTTTTGAATAATGCAGATAATAGGCAGCCTACATTGATACAGTGCATTGACTGAGATTCTCTCTCTCTCTGTTGCCCCAGGCCCTGCCCTCAGCCTCCTGTAACAGCCCCAGTGTGTCCCGGCAGCAGCAGCAGCTCCAGCTCCATCAGCAGCAGTTAAAGCAACAGCTGCAGCAGCTGCAGCAACAGCACCATCTACAGGTGCAGTTCCAGCAGCTGGCTCAGCTGGCCCAGGGTCAGCCCAGCATCAGTGGGGCTGCCCCCTCTGCAGCTCAGACCCAGAGAGACGGCAAACTGCTGGAGGTGATCGAGCGCAAACGCTGCCTGTGCAAAGAGATCAAAGCCCACAGGCGCCCTGACAAGAGCCTGTGTAAGCAGGACAGCATGCCCATCCTCCCGAGCTGGAGGCGGACACCTGAACCCCGTAAGACTGGCACTCCACCGTGCCAGCGGCCACAGGCTGTGGTGTGGGACACCGCGATCTGAGTGTGTGCAGAGGACTGCGCTGAAGGACCAACAAGGCAACAGGAAGAGTGTAGGGTGGCTCTATAATGGAAATGTATTTAAATGGTTGTGGTGATATTCATTACAAAAGTTTGCCTATACTTGTGTTTTGAACTGCTCTTAAGGATGACTTAAGGACAGTTAGGGTATTTGATACTTTGGTTAGGGAAAACTGGTAAATGCGTTGTAAAGAGTCACAATCAGACTAAACTAATTTCTTACCTGAATGAATGATTTGTAATTGCTATATCTTGTTATTCTTAATGTGTTCTAATTGCCAATGATTTTTTGCCACAAAGCACCACTATTACTGCTTCAAATACCTATCAGTAAAGGGTGTTTTTAGATTGTTGTTGCCAAATCTTTTCCTGTCTCCTTGAGACAAAAAATAAATTTTAATTTTTCCCAGCATTAAGATAAATTAAAAAAGGCAACTGCCAATAAAGATTTAACTATTGCTGTGTAGAAACTTCTCTGTGAGTGAGAAAGTTCCTGAAGTGTTTCCTGTGAATGCATATGAGATGTCTTGGTATCAATAAATTGTCATTGTGGATGCAAATAATCATCACTGGAAAGTTAAAGCTACCTAACTGTACCTGTTTGCATATCTGTAATCTAAAAATCTATTTAATTTACTCTACATTTCCTGCAATTTTATAGCAATATGCTCCCAGTGCTGGAGCAATATCAATGTGTCAACTAGCCTAACATACATATCTAAGACTTGAATGAGTCATATTTTGTGTCATTTCTGCATGTCAACAATAGACATACAGTATTGTAAAATTGTGTGTAGAGATGATCATGTCAGACATATACATTCTACAAATACTCGCTATAACAGTATCACATGGTTGTATAAAACAAGGGTAACATGACAGAGGGCTTAAGTGGTGCAGTCCAGTCAAAATCATCAATACAAATACTTCATCACAGTTGCACATAAGTGATTGTTCCATATGCCGAAAAACACAGAGACATCCATAACTTTGACTGGTGCAACTGAGAAGACTGTGAGAATTCAATGCTGGAACAATCTGCACAAATCATGGTATTGGAGAATATCAACCCTGCTGTAAATAGATAATGTACAACTGTATTGAAAATGTAGCAATTCTTTCCATTTTCATACTTAGTCAATACATATTATGTAGCATATGCTGTACAAACATTTTTATTTTCTAGATGAATTTTATCAGCTGCAGCCAGACCATCCATTACTTCTAGTCATATCAGTAAGCAGTAAAAGCCCTCTCTTACAAAAGTTCACTCCAACAGTTGATCAGTTGAATTTATGCAAAACTCCCTTTAAGCTGTGGTAACATTTCATTGACACATTTTCTATATTCTTTATGACTTTTATTAAGATTTTAAGATTTTTAACATTTAACTTGTACAAATTTCAACAACTAGTCCTGTCAACATTATGGATACTTTGCTGCTATACCTTGAACTGGTTTTGTTCAGATACACAGAGGTTTACCATTTTGTTTTAATATGGATATAGTGCTTATTATTATTCTTACATATTTGTTTTGATTTCAGGAGCCATGTGAAATTGAAGAGTGATGTAATAATATTAAGGCACTTGAATGTCTTTTGGTTGTTGATGTTTTTGATATAGTTAGCACCAAATTGTACAGTTACACCACGTGAAAAGGAGACCTATGTAAATGTAATGAAAGTCACTGCTTTGGCCTTTTTAAAAATATTTGTTATTTTTTATTTTTTATTCCACCTGCTCCTGTTAAATGTTTTTTTTTTAAGCTTCAAGAGTCCATTTGAAACAGGTCAGGTTGAGGGATATGGGCAAGTGCAATGCATGCAGAGATTCCTTACAATGAAATAGCCCCAAATGTAATTCTAAAAGCAGAGTATCATCTTAACATGGTTTATTCCCACCGACTGATATCAAACCCTGGGTATCATTTCCGGTATAGTTTACTGAAGCTATTGGTTTTGTGTGTCTACTAAACACTGGCCATTATATGAGTGCCATACTATATTGATATGGTAAGATACGGTGTACCTTGGAAATCACTGTAGTGCTATATTTGCATTGATATTGTCATTCAAATAAATTTTATATAATGAACTTTACATAACAAACAGACTGTCTACATGTTTTATATACTGTCAGTAGTTCTACAGTAATTCTCATCACACATCAAATCACATCAAATACCACCTAAAATAATATTTGGCCTTTTGAATACCACTGAAGACTGAATAGATTTGTCTACAGATAAAATATATACTAAAACTGCAGAGAGCCTCACGTACCACCAGAGGGACACATACCACAGTTTGAGAAACACTGGTGTATTGCATCACAGCATAGATGTTGCAGGAGTGGACATTATGTTCCTGCAGATCCTTCTCTGTCCCACTGAGGGAGCTAGCCACACCAATGCAGCAGCTGGAAGATTCCACAAGTTCAGATGAAGATTTTTACTGCAATTTCATTTTAAAATAATAAGTTTATTTTCCTGTCTGAATTATTCCATGCAGTTCAGTGTACAGTTTTCAATGTACAATATTATTTTTATTCAGTCTCATTCCATTAATAAAAGGAATATAGGTCTAAACAGAAAAAGTTACAAGTTACAAAATTTAGGCTAGATTTTTTCCTCTCAAGCTGTAGACCCACAATAGGATCATATCACCAAACGCTCTTGAGGAAACTCGGAGTAAATGGCCCGTGTGTGACGAGAGATGAAAGGTGAATTATTAAACACGTCCTTCTATTGAGTAACAGGGACACTTTTAATCCTTTATGAATATCACATGGATCATGTTGATTTCTCTTTGGGGACGTGACGTCTTTAGACCAGTAGCCAATAGAAACGTTCATTTAGTTAACACGTGATCCGTCGTTAGGTTGGCGTGAGAGAAGGATGCTGCACATCTGATTGGTCCTCGTCTGCGTGAAGGGGCGGGACTTGGTTCTCTGCTGGGGATGGAGGATGGATGATTGCTGGGGGAGGTGTGAGTGAGAGAGGCGGGCGGGGGTACTGGCTTTACCGCAGTATCACTAGATTTCTGCACCACTCATCAAAACTCTGCGGCATGCAGACAGGAGCTGGGGGGGAGGGCACTCACTAGATCCGCGCACTGTAGCCCTCTGTTAACGGTCCTCTTCCGCATCCATTTTTAGTTCACAGATTTTCATTTCGTTTCTGTGTGCTTTAATCTCTTTTATTTGCGATCTTTTTTTCTTATCTTGGCGCGGTACAGCAGACCTCCTTTCACCAGCTCCCTGTAGCTTTCAGGCAGGTTGACTCGCTCCAAAGGGCGCATCTTCCGAGCTTTTGAAGTGTCTTGTTGTATGATAAAATGGCAAAGGACGGAGAAAAGGGAGAGTGGAAGGAGTTTATATGGAACCCACGAACGAGGGAGTTTTTGGGCAGGACGGCGAGCAGCTGGGGTAAGTACTGTCAAATATAGCACTGTATATCACTGCCGCAACCCCACCGTAACAGGTCGCTCCTAGTGTAATGTAATGTCGTGTAATGCCTGGAGTTCCCTGCCTCATAGAAACATGTAAAAAGTTTAGGGGCGGCTGTCGCTGTCCACTCCGGTGTGGTGCTGATTTTTAATGCGGCAGAGCGTACGCCGGGATACACTGGCAGTAAAGGCTCTTTCTGATTGAATTGCTTCATTTATTTATTCATTTTCGTGGCTGCTCTGCCCGCAGTGCTCTCAGCAGAAGGGTGTAGGCATATGGGCTGGCTTTAGTTGGACCGGGGCACGCTGCTGCAGTGTTGCTGCTGAACAGGTCTCAGTCTGTTGCAAAGTGCACATCATCACATCTCAGAGGAACGGTTTTATTCAGCCGCAGTCAGGGCAGGTATTGCACATTAGCACCTTTTGCTTAGAACTGCACTAGGGGCAAATTATATTACATTGGTATATTATTTTCCTCATATGTGCAAATACAAGTCTGCCTACTGAAGCTTCTCTCACTCTGTGTTCATCATGGTGCCAGGAACTGTTTGAAAGATTCATGACATGATAGGCACATATGGCTCTGTTCTAATGACATTGGCGCGTTTTAATCTGGGTAAAGCCGAGGGACAAATGCTATTTGTATCACCCCCCCAGCCCGGCCCCTCCCAGTATGTGTAAATCAGTGAGCAACTTAATCCTAATCTAATGACTTCATTGGCTGTTGGGGAGGTATCATTGTGGGACCTTACTTTGAGATAAGTCACCTACTTTCAGGAACTTTGGGTTATTTTAAGTCTTTCTAATCTTCACAGTAACAACGCTTCCTGAGCCATGATTGCTATAATTAATCAGTTCCAGTGCTGTCTTGGTAACTGTGGTTGATGAATGAACAATCTGTCATATACTATAGCTTCTCATTGACTGTAACTTCCTTTAGTTCTTCCCTCTTACACGGTATGCCTTAATCCAGCTCAGTGTGTCCCAGGTGCTTCAAGGTCTGCTGGCCTTTTTAAGCTGCACTCTAAGGCTGGTTAATTAGGCTATTTATGTAGCCGCTCCACCACTATATGTTGGTCGGCAGCTAAACTTGTCCTTTCTTCTTCTGCACTTCCTCACTCAGGATGTAACATGGACAGCACTGAGTGTACCTCCAGTAAATTATCTCTTGTTATAGCCATGACAGAGCAAAGAGCAAAGCACAGGTCTGGCCAGGGCAAATGCAGTTTCTGCTGGTAATGACAGGATCTAATTTATGTCAGGAGAGGCAGATCAAAGAGGAACAAAACCCAGATCTCTCGTGTTTTCTACTTTGTTTTAAGCGCTTTAATGATATGAAAATAACCTTGTAAGTAGACCACTTCTGCAGTTCTGATGGTAGCTATTTGCACAAAGCAAATAAGGATGAACAATTACTTCTATTGAAATGAGAATCTCTTCCCTTCTAAAAACAACAAAAGACCTTGTAAACATGAAAGAACATTATTTAGTTTGGGGAGTTTACATCAAGGCTAGCTTTATTTATCCTAGCCCTGTGTTTGATGATTGCAGCATCTGTGCATAATAAACCTTGCTAATTAACAGTGAAAGCAAAGGGACACCTCCAGCCATTATGAGTGAAGAAAGAGCTGGATACTCAACCAGTGCTTTTGTCTTGTGCTTTCAACAGCTATCTGTGACTCTAGCCTGGAATGAAAGAGAGCTAGTGGCTTGTCCATCAGCAGCTAGGAAGTTAACTCTACACCCTCCATACCAGGGGACATCCAGTCCCCACGTACCTGACCCCTCACTCCACGTGCACTGTCACAGACCCCCGCGTGGGCTCATGTTTGTGGATAGCACAACCTCTCCTTGTAACTAGGGAGGCTTTCACGTTCTAGTGTATCCTGTATTTAGTTATGTTATTACAAAAATATTTAACCTTGTCATGCACCTTAAACCGATGGATGTTCATTTGGCTTTTAGTTCTTGGTTGTTGTTAACTCTACAGAAGCTTGGTAACAACACAAATAAAGAAACTTGGTTTCAGTAAGCATTCAGTCTACCCCGGGGCAGCTGTGTCTATAATAGTATCTTACCACTACCATGAATAATGCATTGTAAAGTACTTTGTGTACTATGTGTGTATGTTCTGTGTATATAAATCAAATTAATTATTATTAAGATCCAATTTCGATACCAGAATGACAATTTTAAAAGCACAAAGGTTGAAATTTCTACAGCAATGCAATATCAAATTTAATTGTTTTTTCACACACAATGCTTATATCCACATGTCCCCTGTAAAAATCATTGCAAACATTACAAAAGACGCTGAAACAATCCAAATACGTGCACTGGCTCTATATGACTGCAGTACCCCAGTGTAATTGCTCCCTGTGGAGATTGGTCCCCTTGACATTTTTGTTATGGATTGCTGTGAGTGTGAGAGGAGCAGATGTAGCGCTGAGTTTGCTAATAGTGCTCCTTGCTGTGTGGAGGCAGAGGGTCAGGCTCTCAGCTGCAGCCCGACCAGGCATCAGGTGTGCAAGACAACAATGTGTCATGTACAGGCTATTTAGTTTTTATACTTCATGCCCCTCTATGCTATGAAATGGTATGGGATGACAGCTGTATCAGAGAAGCGTTATTTCAGAGGTATTTAAAAGAGTGAAAGAATTTGGGATCTTTTGCCTTCTATCTCTTACGACCCAGTGAATTAAATGCAATAGTGTTGTTATGATTCTAAAAATATGAACTATGAAAAGAGTTTATATTCAATAGTGGTTTTGATGATGATAAAAACCCAACAGAATTCTTTCTTCAATGTATCCACATGTCTTATAGTAGTTCTAGTATATATACAGGTCAATCTAAAACAATTCAGAAAAAGTCAAATTCTGGCCAATTTCTTAGATTTTTTTTTCATTATCAATCTAGTTTCAGTACTAATTTTGACAACCCTAAAATACATGTTTAATATTTTTTTATGTTTTTCATTCTTTCTATCATATATTCTGTTTTAGACTGAATATTTTCATTCAAAAGTACAATATTTTGTACAATAAACTGAAATTTTAACAATTTCCTACTGTCAAGGAAAGCCAATGATATTTCTGCTAATTTTAGGTTATTATATTTCTGCACATATTTTTAGTGTACTTTTGGCGAAAGCATTATACCACTTTTACTGTTTTGGGTCATTATAGAGAAGCATACATACAGTTTGGGGACAATTTAGCATACATTTTTGCCTGTATTTTGAGCTGATACGAAGACAAAATTACAATTTCTAGAGGCTGCAGAGTCACATCAGAAAATACTAGATGCTCACTGAATAAGACACATTGATTGATTTGGTTAGACGGGCCATAATTATAGTGTAACCTTATCGCCGTGGTCTGCTTACACAAACCAGGGTTGTAATGTCCTGACCCAGTCTCTGACCCAATCTCCAGGGGGTCCTCGCTCTCCTCCTCCAGTTTCTGTCATCTCAAACATCCCCCTCTCGAGACACCACAGCTCTGTAATGAAATGGGTCAGAGAGCAGCTATTCAAGTCACATTTCATTAATAATGTTTGTAGCACATGACAGACAATGGTGCTATTAGTTTCAATATCAGTTTGAGGAAATGAAAGCACTGTTATGTAATAGGTGTTTTGGGACTTTAGTGAGAAGGAAAGAGGGAGACAGATGTGAGGATTAGTCAGGCCACATGTGTGCGCTGGGAGAGACTGTGACTACACACACACAAACACACTGCACTTGTATCAGATGTCATTATTTATACAGATGTGTGTCCTCTGCATTATTAATGAACGTATGTTTGTGTGAAGACGAGAAATGCCACTATTGAGGCATGAACCGCAATCAATTGTTATATGAACTGAAATATTGTTTTCTTTGGGTAAACAATTTTAGTAGTAGTTGTATTCCCATGATCTGAGCACACTGGGAATTATTTTATTGAATTGTTCATTAATTACTGTGCTTATTAATGAATTGCGTCTGTATAAAGTAAAATAATATATACATTTGATTACATAATTACTGCCATCAGAGGTATACATGTATTTTTTTTTGAGTATCAGTTTCACGTTGATGAGCAGGAAAATGGAAAACAGTGCTTCAGTCATTCTGCCTTCTGTCTTATGTCTGTCTTAATCATTAATGTGGGAGAAGCTCTGTGATCTTTTTATTTTGATATTGCCGAAGCGTTTCAACTCCAATAACTTCAGTTAAGAATTTGTCTGATCTATAATAAAATAATTACACTTTAAATTTTATATATTGTACTTTATAAGAAACATATCTCATTACTGACTCTTACTTTTGCAATACTGAAAATGTTAATTAAAGAAAAAAATACATTCCAATGAATTAAAAACATAAAAGAATGGTGTAAACGCACACTACTTTATGTTGTTGATGAAATAGAATAGACAGATTTAATTCATATATGTTGTCAAATGAAGGAGTAAAGTGTGACTCTGGTTTGACAGTTGCCTTATCTGACACCTCTTGAGCCTCGACTGTGTGAACCATGTGAGCTGTCACTAGGCAGGCTTACTACTCCACTGCACACACAACTAACTAGAGGCCATATCAAAGCAAATATAAAGACACTCCATGGAAATTTCCTGGTGGACGGAATGTCAGTAGTTTATCTCCTTGGACATGTTATTACTTTGCCTGAAATGTTCCACAGAATGGCAATACTTTAATAACAATGTGCTGAATTTATATAACGCTGTTCAAGACACCATTACTCACATTCCTGGATGAAGTGTCTTGCCCAAGGACACAACAACTGTATGGATTATAGTCATTGCTGCCCAAAAATATACAAAGCTCTTGTTAATCAAAATAGGATTATGTCAGTATCTTCTTAAATTTGTGCCTGTCATGTATTTTATTTATTTGCACTGTGTTTCATTGTGATAGCTGATTATTGATACAGCGCCTGTTCCCCTCTTTCCCTAGGTCTTATTCTTCTCTTCTATCTAATTTTCTACATCTTCCTGGCGGGACTGTTTGCACTCACCATGTACGTCATGCTGCAGACTCTGGATGACCACAAGCCCACCTGGCAGGACCGCCTCTCCACACCAGGTTCACCTCTGCTCCAAACTCCAAACATTTAATCAATGTCTGTTATAGCTCCTGTTGTCTATCTGTCCCCTCCAGGTATGGTGATCAGACCTAAAGCAGATGAAACTTTCGAGATTGTCTATGACATCCAGAATACAGAGACTTGGGACTTGTACGCCCAGGCCCTGGACAAATTCCTTGCCCGTAAGTCTGCCTGAATATGCATAATAAATATGGCTGTATAAAAATATTGATTATATCTTTAAGAATACATTAGATCAGGCATTAACAGTAATATTACAAACTATAAAAGGGTATTATGTAATTTGGCAGAGTTCATATTAGGATGGATCGTACACCCAAAAATACATAACCCTAGATCACGGTTAAAATTTTTATCATGAATCATGCAGTTTGTTACTTTATAAATGCCATTAAGTGGTAAGTAAAGCTATTTGCTGCTTCTGAGAATTCATACTTCACACTGATTGGTTAAATTGACCTGTCACTCACTCAGAGCAGAATGGAGACTAACCAACAGGAAGAATGAGTGGAGGAATGTGACTGTGTTTAAACATAGAACTGCTTTACATACAGTGGCACTGAATCACGATAACATGATAATATCACCAAAATAGCATGTAGTCAGGAGACCATAATTAGATTTTCATCACCATATTTCCCATCCCTATAATACAGGACTTTATATTGTATAACTCCTACTTTTCACCCTACAGCCTACAACAATTCAGTTCAAGTCATGAAAAATGATGAGTGTGTCCCGGACCAGTACTACAAACAAGAAGACAGCGGAGAGGTGAAGAACAACCCCAAACGCTCCTGTCAGTTTAACCGCACCATCCTGGAAGCATGCTCTGGCATCGGCGACCCTCACTATGGATACCAGGAGGGCAAGCCGTGCATCATCATCAAACTGAACAGGGTATGAAACCACCGAACGAGGAAGAAAAAGGGGGAGGAGAGCCTGGATGGTGTTGCTAGGATACAGAGAGTGGCTGTTTCTAATCAAAGAGGAAAGACTGGTACTGTAGGTGAAGGATATAGCACTGTTTTACACACATGATTATAGGCTACTGCCATTTGTATGAGAATGAATAGACAGATTACGCTAAAGCCACATAATTTCCTTCAAATGACCTTATTAATGCCACATGGTGCAATGTGTGTAAACATTAAAACACAACATTATTGTTAAAGGAGAAACCAGGGCAAAAGCTGTAGTGGCTTTTATGATTATTTCTTGATTTGCCATTATTTAATTTAGCTTTGATGATAAGACTACCAGTGAAAACAATAAATGCTCCAACTGAAAAAGGGGTACATTTTTTAGAGAAACATATTTGTTTGTCAATATGATCAATCTAATATTAATATGGTTAATTTTTTATATTAAATGGCATACACTCTATAATATACTTTACTGAAAGGTGATTATTGCTCTACTCAATTACAAAAAAGTTGAATACAAAAATTTGATTAATGAACTTTCAAATAATCATGGTTATCATAATCATGTAACCCTAAGAATCCATGTATTTCAAAATTATGAAAAATTAGGACTGTTAAATCAGCAATGTATAACTTTTGAATGGTGCAGGAAGCTGAAATCCATGTATAGGCATAATTTGTGTCAGTTTTATAAATGGCTGTCATGGGTGAAGAGTGACAATGTGTTTTGTTCCAGGTGATTGGGATGCTGCCGGGAAAGAACGGGATGGCTCCGTATGTCACCTGTGGAGCTAAGGTACTACCTTTTGTCTCTCACTCAGAAGTGTTGATGTAATCTTTTGGATCACAGCCCAGACTTAATTGTTCTAAATGTTTTATCAGCATTATGCCATCAACACATTTTACTTTTGATGTAACTGCATGTTTGTGTTTCCACTGTATCATATTTCCATCTGTGTGTGACACTCTCTCCTTTCACTGTTGTGCAACATGATATGTCCTCTGTCAGAGATATAAAGTGGGCAAGGATGAATGGGTAAGAGGACAGGACTTTAGTGTGTAGAGTGAGTCTAGATTTAATTGCTATTGCTACTGTATAATTTAGTTTAGTGTGCTAGTAGTGTGTGTTAAGATTGTATAAGATAGTACATTGACACAGTAGTATTAGTGGAACTAGAATAACTCAAATTAAATTGCCTAAATTGCTTGTTAAATATCTAGGTATGCAGAAAACCTAATCATGTTTCTCTTTTGCAGAGGGAAGACAGTGACAAGATCGGAGAGTTGATGTATTTCCCTCCAAATGGCACATTTAATCTCATGTACTATCCTTACTATGGAAAGAAAGCTCAGGTAAGGCTGCGAGTCTTTCAATGTCCCGAAGCCGCAAGACTGCGCCTTTAAACGCAGCGCGTTTGGAAATATATTGTATTTTATGTTAATTATGTCTTGTATTTAAACCCTATAAAATGCATTAGAATGAGATTGCAGATTGTGAGATATTCTTGCATAATAATACTATTTATTTATATTTGTTTATACTTTTAAAAAAGTTGGATAGCCTGTTTGCAATACCAGTTTATTTAAATGGCAGTAACACAACACCATAATATATCATATATAACCATACATTGTGTTTTACTGCATGAAATACAGAGTGCAAAAGCAGAATAACTTCTTACTTAGTAAAATATATATCTGACGCTGCTTTTCTCTTCAGGTGAACTACTCCCAGCCTTTGGTCGCCGTCAAGTTTCTTAATGTCACCCATAACCAAGATGTCAACATTGAGTGCAAGATTAACGCTGACAACATTCCCATTGGGAGCGAAAGGGACAAGTTTGCTGGACGTGTGTCTTTCAAACTAAGGATCAACACGAAGAACTAGGTTTACCTACAACACTCACTACACCAAACTCTTCCCTCCTTCTTCATTCTCCGCAACATTGCACATTTACAGAAACAAATGGCAGCATTGGCACCCTTTTATAGAATCTGTTTACAGCACTCACATAAATGTGAGACAAAACAAGTCAAAAACATAAAGTGGGTGGTTATTCTGTCATTGTTTCTGTTGGTGAGCTTTGGGACACTCACACTCACTTACTTTTCTGTAAATTAGTTAACATCTATTTATAGTGCATGACAAACTTAGGGATATACATGAAAAGAAAGTGAAACTCTTTGCAAGGATCAGCAAGCGTCACCACTTCAGCTGCCTCCCTATGAAATATCCCTCTATATTAGACATCAATTACAATACAAAATGTGTGTATCAACAGTATTTACCGGTATCATAACCTTATATCAGTATGTTTTGTGAAAGACAATAACACAATAAGAACCAGATGACATATCTCTCCCTGTGTGAACGATGCTGAGACAACGCCATTTTTGCATGTGTATTTTGTCTTTAGTATGAGATAAGGCAGGGGGTCTATGTGTCCCTCCTCTTTGCTCAAATAAATGTTTAATAAATAATTAAGGTTATGTCGAACACCACTGACCACTAGGGGGAGTGCAGTGAGACAAATCTCATATTAACATATACAAACCTTTAAAACAAGTGTGTGCGTTTGTGTGTGTGTGTGTGTGTGTGTGTGAAAGCGGGTTATGTGTTTCAGTGACATCTCATATTGTAGGTCGGGAAGTTGCATGCACTGTGCAATATTCATTAAGTGGCATACATTATGAATGCTTGATCCCATTCTTCACAAGAGGACTTATTCTTCATTAGTTATTTTAACCTGGGGGGAATCATATAGCTTTACATACTTACAGTACTTTCATACTCATATCAAACATTTCCTTAACTTTAACCATTGCTGCGTTTCAAGTGTTTTTATTGTATTGCATCTATTTCTTATGTATCTGAAATAGATGCCTGTGTCATATTTTTATTTATTTGCACTTGAAGTATGCTTTTTTCTTTGTGAAGTGAAATTAATAATGTACATAATGTTTTGGGTGGAGATGGGTTAGACGTTTGTGTTTGTGTTTTACCTTTATCTCAACTCATTCACTCTGTCATGCTCATTCCCTGAAATCCTTTTGGAAATTTAGATTTAAGTATAGGAAAGTTGTAGGTGCATGTAAGATTACTTTTAGACCACTTAAACCCACATCAACACAGTTTAAATACAAGCTTGAATTTTCTGAAAGTGGTGCTGATTAGTAGCTAAATATAATTATAGAGAAATCATGCTAAGAATTGCTCAAATTACTATAACTCTTTGCCTGAAAATCTTATTTAACGTTACCATTCTATATATATATATATATATATATATATATATATATATATATATATATATATATATATATATTTAAAAAAACAAACACATCAGAGGAATTTGACTACAGTGAATTAAGCAAAATTATAAATATAAATATTATTTCTACATTGTCTATGATCCTGTTCTTTTTGTGGCGGCCCACTGACAATTTCACAAGCATTTTCCGTGGCATTCCAACAACACTTACTTAATTTCAGTGTAATCTCTTAATCTGGTTGGCTAATCCAGAGCAGGCACGCTGAACTTCTTTACCCTACTTTGTTGCTCCTTTTCCTTCTTGCTTCACTGTCATTCTTCTTCCTTAGTCCTCAGTCAGGCACATTTTAACAATTTAATTTGAGACAATTTTCCATTACACTCAAACTTAATTGGGCATTGCTTCATTGATCTTTACATTATATAACATGAATTCAATGCAACCAGACATCCGCAACCAAAGATCACAGCTGTAAATGCTACGCAAAGAAGCTGTAGATGCGAAGTGGAAAGCTAAGGATGAAGTAACAAATACCTACTATTATGTAAACGATAATGCGCACAATACAGAGGAGCATTAGTTCACTGCTACGCAACAGTGCCTCTTGGTGGACAGACAGCGTTGTTCCCCAGTGTCACAGAATGTCCAAATCTCCATCTGTTTCTGATATTATTTATTTATTTTTCCGTTTTGGGATGGTAAGATTATTTGGAGATGTCCTCAAAAAGCAATATCTAATTTGTTGTGTGGCTGTTACTGAATCATCAAGAGCAAAGACATCACGGCAATTGTCACCAAAACATGCTTTATCAAAGATGAAATAATATATGAAGGATATTGTTTTGTTTATAAAGAATATTTTTATTGACATTTTGTTGTAAAGAGGAGAGAATGTATTATCTTGGATGTAACAATGTCAAAGGGTATCAGCATTTATGGAAAGGTAAAAAGGTGTGTGCATTGTGTGTATATGTGTGGGTCCTATCTTTCCCAATGTAACTACATGTACTTATCACTGATTCGAAATCATGTGGATAGGACTTGCAGTGGTGACAAAAAGGCCAGGCTAAATACAGAATACTACAGCAAGCTCCAGCACAAACGCTAAACAAATTAACCTCATGACCTCCACTCTCTCCCCCTTACCTTAGTACTGGCCTATAGGACTGTGTTGAGAAGATAGTTTGGGATTGGGATTATATGATAAACTGTACATGTTGGAATATTATGGGATGATAATTCTATTCTCAAACATTTATTTTTGCTCTTACTGTATGTATATTTTTGCTCATGTTTACTGCAAAAACAAGATAGAGAAACAAATAAATGTCATTTAAGGGAATTTAAGCCTTCTGTGTCTTTGGTCCATCTTGTGGCATCATGGATAGGCACTATACTCTAATTCAATGGGATCTGTTTTAAATTTACAGTAATGCTTTATCCAAGTGTGTAAATAACATCTTAAGTGGAATTTTACTGACTTATTACACCATGTTACAACACATCTGTCTTATTCTGAAAGTAAATGTGAGACCACTGACCCATTTTTTCTTAACTCCAAATTCACAACAGCCTAAGTACTATTGGAGGCATTACATTATGTGTATTTGTTTCAATGTTTTACTTAATTACTATATCGACTTCAATAGTTCAATGTATGATAGCTGGAAAAATATATTTTGGAGCTCAATATTTATTGTGGGTATATTTTCATAGCAAAATTGGGGAGATTTTTCTTATTTTAGTTGTCATAAGGTAAGAAAGCTGTAGAGGGTTGAACAAGTCACTTCTATGGCTAATTACGGCATCATTTGGCTATTTATTTGTTGCAGCTCATGCCTTTTAATGATACTGTATATTTCTTTTTTATTTTGGGGGGTTGGGGAAGATTATCTTGCTTTATTTTAATTGTATTAGTGGCATAAAGTAGTTTCAATATTATTACTTATCGCAATATATCTCTATAGCAATATAACATGCTTCAAAATTTGTTATCCTCACAGGACTAGAGTTATTTTTCTTTAGATCTGCTACTTGAAACAATTAAGTTAAGTTTTTCTAAAAACTGCGTTAATATAATATAATTTGAAATGGTTGTGTGTGTCTGTAATAAGTAAGTTTTTTTCAGACGAGTCCAATAGTGTGTAGTTACATCAGAATTGAACTTCCGTTTGGTGATCTTAGAGTAGCTCCTACCTGCTTTTAACTTAAGGCTTCTGTCCTTGTCTTTCCCTTCTCACTCCCTCTCCTAAGAAACAGGGAGTGGTGACGAGGATTACACAGCATTAGTGGCTTTTGTGGACTTAAAATATCCTGAATGAGACACATAACTATTGCTTCACACATTTACCTACATGCACTTTGGGTTTACATATTTCTTGGGACATTATATTAACATACTTAAATATATTGTCCCAGCTAATAATTATTAACCTAGAATATTCAATCATATTAGAAAAGTACCAACTTGGAATAAAATATACCAAAAAAGTACACTGAACGTCAGTACCAGATCAATGTTTGGTTCAAAGTTAAATGCTGAAAGTGACATCTACTGTGACCACAGGAAATTCATGACAGCTGGTTTCTGTTTTTCAGAAGAGATTTTTATTCTTAAGACTTTATAAAAATGACAAAATATCAAAACTCAGATAGCACATTACAATTAAAGTTTCTCTCTCTCTCTGTAAAATTTACAGCTAATACATAATTATTCTACAGTATATTAATTGTAAATGTAGTAGGCCATTATAAGGTAACAAAACCTTTTCTTGAGGTAGCATACTCCTTTACATAAGATGCTCTTATTTTAACAGCATTTTAAATTTAGATAAATAGTAATAATTTATCTCTTTTAGGCTCCCTTGACAAAGTGTGAAATATGTTAATACTGCTTTCAGAAAATATGGCCCAAACAACCTCTTTTACATTAAGAAGGTACACTTATGTGTGTCAAGTACAGTGCCCCAAAACACAGAACTTGTGGTCCTCATAATGTGGGTCAAAGTGGAGCTTAGGTATTTTGCACTATGGAACCTCATGATTTTGCTCTGGACCCTTTTGACCAAGCCCTAAGCCCTCTTTACAATATGCATGTCTACACAGTGCTTTCAGACAGTTCATAATCAGCTGCCTTTAAGTGCATCTTCATGGTAAAACATAACATGACCACCTTATTATCCCAGCGACTGAAGAGGAACATCTCTCTCAAGGCAAAGTGGCTCTCATTGATTGTTGCAGCACTTAGTAAACATATGGCACATGAAAAATGGTTGTTCTTAAGGTAAGTCCAGCATACCATGTTCTTCCAGTGCGATCTGCGTTCTGTTGTAGACCTCTTCCAGAGCATGGACCACTTTAGTGAGCACGAAGCTGAGCTCCACCTGGTCCTGCGCACACACCAGCCTGAAGAAGAAGTTACGCTCAGGCATGGCGATGAAGGCCAGCTCCGCCGCCCGCCGCACAAACCAGGTGTGGTGATTGGCCAGACTTTTTTGGTATGCCTCGCGGCACAGGTCCGAGGGGCTCCTCAGGCGACCTGTCACTGGGGTGTCAGCCAGTTTCGCTAGGAAGAGCTTGAGCCAGAGCAGTGCTCGGTGGAGGCGCAGCAAAGTCCTACAGCCTGAGTCTGTCTGCTGATGGAAGTCCACCATGTCCTTCTCCAGCTCCACGCGGATCATAGAGCGCACTGAGCGGTATGCGGGGGTGTGAGTGGGGGGCTTCTGCTCTGATCCTGTCTTCATGGGAAGAATCTCAGGGTTCAGCTCAGCCTCAGGATTGTCCTCTGGTGAACTGGCCAACTGACGGATAATAGAAGTCTTTGTTTCTACTTCTTTGGAAATCAGTCCCACCATTGGTCCCAGAGCTTCCATAAATCTACAGTTACAATAAACACAGATTAGAAATAAATAATAATTGTAATAATAATATTGAATTGAAATATTGATTCTAAATTGATTATCACACTGAGGGAAGTATATAAAAAATACAAAACACTGGGTCAATTGACGTGATCTTACTTGACCAGTTCATCCCAGCTGGCGAGATAGGGCTCCAGTAAGACATCAGAGGGGTCGGTGGGCCCAGCCTGCAGGTGGGACAGCAACAGAGACACCTGGAACTTCTGTCCAGGACACACCTCGATGACCACAGGGCCATCCAGCACTGTGGCCTCACTGCTGTTGTACAGATGGTGGAGCTGACAGAGGGAGGAACAGTACAAAGGATTCATTAAGGTGGAAATGATTCCATCAGGTTCACACAAGTACAATACTGCATAAAGAATAAAAATATTAAATCCATGAATCTGCTCACCTTATTCACATGATTATAGCCCTTAATACAAGAATCCCAGTGGTAGTCCAGGCCGCCTTCTGTTGGGAAAGAACAGAAAAGACACATGATAAAATTTGATAATTAAACAAAGATTAGTGAAGATAGTGAACTGGGGATAAGTTATCCTAACCAAGGCCACTGGAGCTACTTAATGTTGGGCATAACTACTGCACTAGAGCTAATGTTGAATTTAATGCATATGACCTCATTTCAGAATTTGACATAGTGAACTTTTGTGACCTCAATAGACTTGGCAATACTCCACAAAGACAAGCTAAGCATTTCAGGACATTGTTTCCCTACACAGTACTTAAAGTGAACAATAAATAAGGACTATGTATGTATGTCTAAGGGTATTGCTAAGCATCTGAATATGTTGAAGCTTGTACTTATTTTACTTTATTATTTACTGATGTCCCTAAATGACACATATGAGAAAGTCAGCTTGTTAGTAGAAGCCAGACACCTGCTGTTGGCGTCAGAACCACAGAACTGAACCACAATCCTTCACTAACACTGAGAGAAGACTACATGAACACAAAACAGATACTAAATAAACAGTGCTGGGCACTGTGAGCTGTTTATTCTGACATTTGATTACACCTGATATGCTCTGCCTGTGCCAGAACATAAACACATTAGAGGAACCTGCTGAGACTGGGGCCAGAAGGGTCTACTGCTTTAAAATGAATAATTATCGGCACTTTTGGGTGACAGTGTTTCCTGTAGGAAACGCTATCTTCACTTCCACACACTCACTTAGGATCCCATTTAAATCACATACAGTTGCTCTACACATCAGAAACAAACCACATGTTTCCTGTGAACTGAAATCCCCGTCCATAGGCAGCAGTGTCCACAGCATGTGGATCTGTGAGGAGTGCTCCATGTGACACATTCCTGATGTGTAGCATATGTGCTTGAGACAAGGGAAGGATTGTGTAGAAATAAAGTACAAGACAGAAACCACACAGACTGAATGAGAGTGAGAAAATACTCACGTAGCCAAAGAGAGCCAAGGAAGAGCAGTAAGACTACGATGGCCAGGGCAGCCTTGCTCTTCACGCCCATGCTGAAGTCCAGCTTTAAATCTGGCTGTTTCTCCTCCTGATCCTTCAGTCGATCTTTTGTATTCTTTAATTCTTTGGGGTCTCACATGGGTGCCCGTTGCCTCGTACTGGCTGTCACCACAATCCCTCTGAAGCAGAACCTTGCCTCTGCTGACCCTCCCTCTGTCGCACTCTCAAATCTCTCATACTCCTCCCCAAAAATCTACACTCCAAAAGTTCCCTTTCCTCCACTGCCCCCCTCTTTACACAGACATATTTCCACAGCTCTCTCGTCTCACTACCTCACCCTTTCTCTTTCTCTAAGCACCGGCTTCAGCCCTGCCTTTGTTTCACACTACATTTGACGTCTCTCTCCCTCCCTCTCTCCCTCTTGCTGCTTTTGCTCCTCGTGTTGCTCAATGTGGGTTCAGAGATCATTTGGCCACATTGCGCTGGGAGATAACAAACCACTGCTTGGCTAAGCTTGTCCGCCAGTAACCCACCTCTTTCCCTTCCACATACATCTCTTACATATACGTTATATTGCTCCTGAGCTCGAGTATACGCACATGCTGCTCTACTCCTCCGCTTCTCCTCCTCCCACCCTGCTATAGTCCTCCTCCCCCACATCCCCCCTCCCTTTTCTAACATGTGTGGCTCATTCATACCACTCTTAACAGGGCTAGCACTCCCATTAAACACTGCCTTTATTTTGTGGGTAAAAAAATACTGCTTTGAATTACATTTTATTGAGCTGGTGCATATCAAATCTCAAACAAATCTCATTTTCTCAATATTTATCAGCTTTTACTAGGGCATTGCAACCTATGGTCAGCTTCAGTATTGATTGAATGCAAACACAGATTGATGTGACTTCCAAGTGTGTGAATATATAACAAATACCTATTCCAAAAAAACAAAATAGTCTACAGTATTTCTGAAAATAAAAAAAGTCTTCAGGTACATTTCTTGAGTCTAAAGTCAATATGACGCATGGAGATGAGAGGTGTTCTTATGATTATCAGCTCTGATAGCAGCAGTGATTATTTGCTGATGGCATAAGAATGGAGATGTACTGAACTCAAGTCAAACCACATGTGCAATAAAGAGGTACCCACAATGAAAGGGGGAAAGACGCAGTGAAGGCATGGAGCATTAATCACAGAGAAGGGAGGGGCAGGTCATGGGACATTTGATTTGATTCTGCGCAGCCAATCAGAGAACACTGCTTCTAACGGGGGGATTTCAAGCTCACAAACCATGTGACTCTCTCAACGTTTGATTCAATGTGGCTAATTCAATCTTATTAACCAACAGCAAAGATATATGTTTTATACCTTCTTACAACTAGCACAAGAGTAAAAGAGGAACAATGAGTCAGAGAGATAAGTTTCCACACACGAAACAAAGCCAACAGACAATTTGAAAATATTCAAATCAAGCATTGTTTAAGAGGCTACTGCGTGTAGTTAGATTTGACTGTGCTGAAGCTATGTGCTGACATTAGGTTAAACTCAAAAGGACAAGCCTACCCGCAAAATACTGTATATTATATTGTTTTATTCTAACTAGTGTTTACATATTACAGATCAGATCTTTAGATTGAACAAAAGAATATAAACGGGTAAAAGAGCAGTTCATAGCAGAGCTTTGGTTGAACTGGGTTAGATAAGCAATATTTGAGACAAGCAAGAGTAGAATAGCCTACATTAATTATTGAATAATATAAAAGGCTAAAGGCTACGATGCATCCATATGTGCATATTTTTAGTAGTTATCCTAAAGATTATATTCTGTTATTTTATAGAAAGTACAAAGCAAACATGTAACCATAGACTCCTGCAAACTGCTTCTTATGACCTCTGTTTTGACAACTTGTTTTATGGCCTTTAAACTTTGTGACAGGAGTAGCTGTTATTTTCTCATAAAGGTATTACAGGAGTTTTATTACAGATACAGAAGCCCAAAAGCATTAACTTTACAACAGACCAAGGAATGTGCCAAAAATGACCTAAGTTCTACAACGATTTGATTATTTCTATGAACAAACTTGTTAATACCATGCACTATAAAGGACTGCAAACATATTATTATGCAAACATATTATTATGCAAACATATTAGTCATTAACAAAAATATGTATACTGTCAGTTGACTCACTGTATTAACATTATTGCATTATAATTATTGTTAGAGCATAATTATGTGTAACATGATTCACTGCTGTACTGTAAAAAATACTCTACTTGCACAGTGATGTATTTTATACCATTTTGTGCTAATATTTAAAGGTGCATTGTGTAACTTTTCTGGTGGAGGGTCCAGCAAATGCTTTTCTCTATGAAGATGTTATTACTTTGTCTGGAATGTTTCACAATATACCTTTCTATCTTCATTTAGGCCAAACCAGACCAAGTTACAAGTCTGTGGAGACATCAGAGTCACAGGTAGAATGCTGTTTTTTTCTAGGTATTTCTGAGCTATAAAATCACCTGTAATTTAATAAATGTAAGATAGAGCTGTTTGATGCCATACTGTGGAACATTCTAGGCAGAGCAATGACATCTCTGTAGAAACAAGCAGATGATGGACCCCCAACCAAAAATGTATATAGTGCACCTTAAAGTCTATTTTTTCACAGTTATTTATCATTTTTATTGCATATTTTCCTGGTCTTCAAGAACTTTTCATTGCAACACTGAAATTTCACCATTGTGATACAAATAAAGGTTCTCTTATTTTCACTCCATTTTGCGTGGTGGTAAGCTATCTGCATACTTCTCATATATAGTTGCCTCGTAGTGGTAACAATATTGACCCCCTTGTGGCTAATGTAGTGATATGAATCTGTCCACTGCAGCTCTGGCCCTGTTCCCTGGCTGTCTGAGTGTGTGAGACACATAATCAGGCTTGTGAAGGCTCCGGTTACCTGAAAGGAGCTCATCTCCGCTTCCCTATCTGTATATTTAGAAGTACATCACATACTATGCAACTCACATGGCACATTCCTAACACCAGTTTGCTGCCCTTGTACTCACAGTGACTCAACTTGAATTACTCACACTACCAATTATCATACAGTATATTTAGCCATAGATCTGAATGTCAATACTAATTTATACAATAGTGTAGCTTTAAATAGTAAAACAGAATCACTTTTTTCTTTTATCATTTTATTTATTGCCTGTGCTCTGTAACAGCAGCCAAAATAGCCTAGACACTTTCTCAATGCGGAAGACCAGTGTGGGAAATGGCAAGGCTAAGCTATCTTGTGTATTAATATACGAGACACATAGCAGTTGTTCGCCTTTTGACCCCTGCCTGCACCTAGGACTGTAGCAGACACTACTATGGCCTGACATAATCAAAAGAAGTGACAGAAGGATGCAGAAGAGTGTGAAATTCATAATACAGTATGTACAACATATAATCAAACAGAGAAAAGATGTAAAAGGCAAAAAGAAACAGAATGCAGTGAAAATCATAAAAATCCCATGTGTTTAAAAATGTATATGGTGTAAATAGCAGAAATGTATTCATTGTAGAGGTGGGGATGTTCAGAGAACATACATTAAAATCCCCAACTCAGTGAATCTAATCCAATCAGTCAATAAATTAAACTGAAGTTGAATTTCTGCAAATAATCAATCAATAAATAATAATATCTGCAAAGTTACATTTTAAATTTAGTACCATGAATGATAACCATTTTTCTGTTCCATGCATTCAGGTGAGTGTATCTTTATGTATTTGTTAAAATTGACCATGTGTCCTAACTCAGAATCGGTGGGCTGTATACCATCTTAAATAGTTGGCATTATGTCAGTTAGTTGAGTCTAATGATGGCAGTGATGATTATTGTGGGTGACTGGATGTCCTGGTTTAGTTCCTCCCAGCTGCTGTGTAATGTGAACCGCAGGCTAGCGACAGCCGGGGTGACCAACAGTCAAGGGGCTGGCCAGCAGGGGATTTGGGGCTCTTCCTCTACGCGCTTAACTCTGGATATCTCTGCCTTTGTCTCACATATTAGAAAAAGAGGGCAAAGTGAAGAAGGGGAGCAATGGGGATGCAAAAGTCATGGATACTTTGTGGAGTTGTGACTATTTTGGGGGCTTTAATTTTGCAAGGTAAGTTGCATGAACTTGTAAATCTTAGTCATAGTGGCTTGTGACTTGTGGTGGCTGAGCAGTTAGTTAAACCATGAAGTACACACATCATTGTTATTTCTATTAAAAGTTGTGACTATGTTTTGGTATTTTTATAAGGCACACCAAGGAAGTCTAGTAAACATGATATCATATGTCAATCTTATAGGAGAACATGAAAAGCCTTTTATTTACAGAGAAGAAGTATAACTTTTGAAGTAAGTTATGCACAGCAATGCATTTCAGTGTAGTATGCTGATGATATTGGAAGGGATAATTTGTGTTGTGACCTGCTATCTGATATTACTGCACTGACTAGCACAGCTCACATCACACAAGATAAATCAGTTTGATTAAGATAGAAAAGTCAAAACAGTTCGTGTTGAAGTATAGGGGAATGGCATGAACATTCCTGTAAGGACAAGGTCTCATTTTATTAGGGATTAGAATGACAAAATATGTGATGGTACTCTCTCACATGACAAGCAGGGGCCTTTTTTTATTACTATTTTGTTTTTATCTGAAAGGAAGGAAGCACAGAAATTATACACTAATCTCACTATCACAACAGTGACAGTGGCTCAGAGGTTAGAAAATCGATTCCTGCTGGGAGCAAGTTCTGTTATTGTCTCCTTGTGGAGGCAAGACACCTCATCCACCCTGCCTAGTTTTAAAGTGGTGTGTGCATGAGTGATTGGTGGTGATCGGAGTGACCAATTGCACAGTTTGGCAGTCTGCCCCAGGGCAGCTGTAGTTACAATAGTATCTTACCACTATGGCGTATAGAGTGAATGAATAACACAGTGTAGCACTTAAAGAGGTTTTGACAACCCTGTAAAGTGTATTACAAGTGTAAGGCATCATTATTATACCACTCGGAAAATATGGGCAACAGAATAATGATCTTGTTTGATGTTTTTGTGAATGAAATTTCAGGTATTCAAATATTGCTCCTGAATTGCTTCTTTGTAATTTGGGTAGTACACAAGATGTTGGTAGGGTAAGATTAAAGATTTTTACACTCTTTACAACTCACAAACATATTTCATTACATAAAGCTTTGGACAAAAGCTTTATGTAATGATGATTTGCTCAGGGTGGAGCAGTTTCCACAGAAATCTATTGAAAAATATATAAGCAAGTACACACAAGCCATGGGACATCTCTGTTATCTGTTGGGTAAGCTAATTTGAGTAGTTTGGCAATCAGCTCCACTGGTTGAAAGATGACATCATACTTTGGAGATCTAAGACAGATAGATAGATATAGACCACTTCTAATTCCTGAGTTAGCCCCTGTTTAATCATTAATTTGTAGCCTGTAGGAAAAACACCAGTTCTGAATTTAGTCCTGATATACCCAGACCAGTTTTGCATGGAGAATAACTTTCACAAAATCAAGAGAATTCATTATTATAATATTAATGTATTCATCAACTTAAGCTTTTACCAGAAACTACAGATATGACACCAGTTACACAATGCACAGCAGATAAATTACAGGGCTGACACATCAACTCCTACAGTGAATGTGTCCATTACATTTGCACAAACAAAAATATAAACTATTAGTGTTTGTTTGATGGTGTACCATTTTCAAGTAAATCAGTAACTGTAAATGTGCATTTGATTGTCTGAATGTACTTTTGTTGTAGCTTGCGAACAGTTTAGTTTTTCTTATACATATATTGTTTCTTCTGGGTTGTTACTTAGCTTAGTTACGCCTAATCTTAGGGTCTTAGACAGCCAGATTTATGTGAGTTATTGATTGATTATTCCAAACAACGAATTAAGTCTACAAATAGTTAATTAATTATTATAACAGGATTAAGTAATGTTTTGTTTTATTGTTCGGGAGAATAGACAAAGATACTGACAAAGATAAAATGAGGGAATTAACTTATCTATGTGTGTTGACCTTTGGCCCTTTCCAACATATAACTGAACCAATCACACTACATGCTGACATCTTAACTACTTTTACAGTGAGTTACTGTCATCATTTTTCCCCAATGATGAAAATGATGGTTTTTGTAGTGACGAGAGTGTGAAGTTTAAGACCTCCTCTCAGGAAGCCCAGCTGTTGTGTAATGTGAGCCGTGATAATGACAGTTGGCTCTGGACGGACAAGGCTTAGGAATGACCTTTCTCTGCCACTCTTCAAGTTTACCTGCATCTGTCAAAGAACTCTGAAGTTCACTCACTATCAGGATTTTGCATAATAGCCCTGATGGTTATTGGCTAATGTCATGTTAGCATTTGGTGGTGGTGTTACTTTTCAATCATCAAGCAGCTGAGGCTATACAGTGTGGTGTCCAGCACTGTATGCAAATACTTTTCTCTGATTTATTTGGTGGCATGACGTTCTTAAATGAATATGCAAAACTAACCAGACTTGTTGTATTTTCCTTAGTTGTGCTGACGCAAAGAAAGGGGTCAGCAACATGGAAATAAACGCATGTTAATGACTGAGTATTTCAAAGACTTCCATAGCACCATTTGTTTATGAACAGGATCAAAAAATCTGTCTGTGTGTATGTATATATATATATATATATATATATATATATATATATATATATATATATATATATATATATATATATATATATATATATATATATATATATGATTGATTCTCATCTCTGGCAGTGTATCTTAGATAATGGTGTCTTCATTCTTTTTCACTGTCTTGTCACAGTGCCTACACAGCAAAACAATGAAATATCAAATGTGTACACTGGTGGGTGCAGATAATCAAACTTGCTAAAATTACTTCAAGACAGGGGCACACATTGAAGATATTTCAGTAACTTTACCATTCTTACCATATAGAAAGTATAAAAATGGTTTATGACATATAAATCTGTATTTCTTTGTTATTTTCTTCTGTGTTTCTGAACAGTGCAGTGTAACGAGGAGACAAAGCTAATTAGTGAACTCTTTAAAAACTATAATAAGAATATTCGCCCAGTGGTTAAACCTGAAGACAAAGTGGAAGTTATGATTAAGATGACCTTGACTAACCTCATCTCTCTGGTAAGAATACAATCAGTGCTTCATGCAACAGACCTTCATACAAAAGTTATAAATCATTACAATATTTTACTTCAACAGAATGAAAAGGAGGAGACCCTTACAACCAATGTGTGGATTGAAATTGTAAATTCTCATTCTCAGATTGAACATTGGGAACCTTTTGTATTGTTTGTTTGACCCATATGCAGTAATTTGATGTGACTATGTGGGATTAAATATCATTCACAGCAATGGTTGGATAATCGGCTTTCCTGGAACACTTCAGAGTATTATGGCATAGAAGTTATCCGAGTCCCATGCAACACTGTGTGGCTGCCTGACATAGTCCTTGAAAATAAGTATGTCAGGAGCTTAACCTAATCATGTTTTTACTGTAGAGACTTTCCCCCCTGTTCTCATTTAAAATCTCAATCTGCAGCATTGATGGCAAATTTGACGTGGCTTACTATGCCAATGTGTTGATCGACAATACTGGCTGGATGTATTGGCTTCCTCCTGCTATCTACCGCAGCACGTGTGCCATTGAAATTACCTACTTCCCATTTGATTACCAAAACTGCACACTTGCATTTAGGTAAGATATTTCCATAGTCTTTTTTGTGTCAATTTGTTTAGTTTAGCTTTAACAAGACTTATACCTGGTTCCAGATCACAGACATACAGTGCCAATGAAGTCGACCTGAGACTGGCAGAAGTGGACGATGGGCCAATTGAATGGGTTGATATTGATCCAGAAGCTTTTACAGGTACACATAATTTTAACCTTCCTCAAACAAGCACCCTCTGCAACAATGAGCAAAGGAGACTGTGAAAGATTAGATATGTTTGAAAATATTTTTTAAATTAATTAATTAATTATAATTAATAATAATAATTAATTTACTGACAACATGTAGGTTATGACTCAATTACAGAGAAGCATAATTAATCACAATCTCACCGAAGTGAACCTGTTGAGGAATAAAAGCCATTTGTTAATGATGCTTTGTTATTTTGCATAGATTAGACAAGTAGTGTGTGTGTGTGTGCGTGTGTGTGCGCGCGTGTGTGTGTGTGTGTATATATATATATATATATATATATATATATTTATTTTTTTTTTTACTATGAACCAGATATCATGTGTTCTTAATAAAGACTGAATTGAATTGAATTGAATTGGTGCAATAACAATTTTTTTATGTTATGTTTTTGTCTTAGAGAATGGTGAGTGGGCCATTGTCCACCGACCAGCCAGAAAGAAAATAGACCCTCGTTACTCTCCTGATGATCTGGAGTATCAGGAAATCATTTTCAACCTAATCATTCAAAGGAAGCCTCTATTTTATATCATCAACATCATTCTGCCCTGCTCCCTCATCTCTTCCCTCGTTGTCCTTGCCTACTTCCTGCCTGCTCAGGGTTAGCACTCGTCTGTATATATAACCCAAACCACAATATGCAACCCAAACCACAAGAGATTTAGGGTCATGAATACTTTGTTGTATCAGACCAGTGATTTAAAGAAGACCAAATTAAGTTCTTTGGAAAGGTTCACATGCTATCACAGTGACATTAATATTAATTAACAGAAATTGTGCTTGTTCACAGCTGGGGGGCAGAAGCTAACTGTGTCCATATCAGTGTTACTGGCCCAGACTGTCTTCCTCTTCCTCATAGCACAGAAAATTCCAGAAACATCTCTCTCTGTTCCTCTCATTGGAAAGTGAGTCTAGTGCAGTAAGTCTTTAGCTGAGAACACTAAATAATAATTTCAACTATAATATTTGTTTTTTTCAGGTATCTGATCTTTGTGATGTCTGTGACAACTCTGATTGCCACGAATCAAATTGTGGTTCTAAATTTCTCTCTGCGCAGCCCAAGTACTCACACCATGTCCCACAGCGTCAAACATGTACGTATATTTACTATATACTAGTGTTGTATACTTACATTTCAATTTTGAATCTAAGGAAAAGCCTTAATACTCGATACAGATTTCAATACCACAGAGACTTCACACTGTCTTTTGTAGAATATAACCGTATAGAAGAACCTTCAGTAATAGTACTTCCTTAATGTTACCATGTAAAATATTTCTGATAAAGCTCAATACAATTCTGAAACTATTCAAAAAAAGTTTTGTCTGGTTTATCTAATTTGTTTTAGTATGGATACTTGCTCAAATGAGTATCTAGTTTTGATACTAAAGTAGTATCCAATTTTCAGTTCTTTTGGCAACCCAGGTGCCTGGTTATTGATACTGTTGACATTCCTACTGTGTAAAAATTCTTTATGGTGATGGTATTTTGAGAAGTACTTTGGTTACCTTGTTTAGCTGTTTCTGAAGATGATTCCTCGTCTTCTGGGCATGGCTCCATTGATTGATGAGACAGAGGAGACAGCACAAGTGAACGGAGTGACAGAGCGGCGGAGGAGCTCCTTTGGCCTGATGCAAAGAGCAGAAGAATATGTGCTCAAACAGCCTCGCAGTGAAATGATGTTCGACAAACAAAGAGAGAGACATGGGCTCACCAGATCCATTGGTTAGTATGTCCAGCAATAGCAACAGTAATATGAGGTGGTCAAGATCAATGTGTTAATCATTTAGTTGTCACTATGGTAAAAATATATATATAATAGTTAACTTTTAATAGAAACTTTTCTGGTGGGGTATCCACCCCATGCTTTGCTTGGAATATTCCATAATACGGCATTAA